CCATTTGCATGCAAACTTCAAGAAGTCCTTGTTTTTTTACTGCTGAGTAGTACTCTAATATGTATACAACAAAAGTATATGCTCAACTATGTTCCTAGCAGCATTGTTTGTAATAGCCAGAACCTGGAAACAACCTAGATGCCCTTCAATGGAAGAATGGATAAAGAATGTATGGAATATATACATATTAGAGTACTATTCTTTCTTTCTTTTATTTATTTATTTTTGGTTTTTGAGACAGGGTTTCCCTGTAGCTTTGGAGGCTGTCTTGGAACTATCTCTGTAGACCAGGCTGGCCTCGAACTCACAGAGGCCTGCCTCTGCCTCCTGAGTGCTGGGATTAAAGGTGCCACCTCCTGGCTATCCATTTGTTTGATAATACAGTCCTTTTGTTCTACTCCTAACTTGAAGTCAGGAGTATATTAAACTGTGGGAAATTAAACACAGGGGAACAGGAGAATTTTCAGTACTCACTGAAATTCTCTCCTGATACTATCTTAATGTTTCTGCATTTTATTATTTTCTTTGGTGTCTTCATATTTACTATCTTTCTAAATCCCCACACCTCCACTCTGGAAGAAAGGTATTTTTGTTGAGGCTGGCCCTCCAACAAGTTTATTAGTTATTTTTCAGTTGCTATGATAAAATACCATAAATGAAAACAACTTACGAAAGAAAAAGGTTTACTGTGGCTTAAAATTTCAGACAGAAAGTCCATAATGGCATGGAAAGCAGGGTGGCAGATAGCCACAACAGGGAGCTGGGAGATCGTATCTTCAACAGCAAACCAAAGTAGAAAGAAGGAACTGGAAATGTGGGGCAAACCTATGAACTCTTCCTCCAGTAAGACTCTGCCTCTTACTGATCCCACAACCTCACCAAATAACACCACCAACTGGGGGCCAACATTCAAACATGTGATTCTGTGTAGGACTGTCTCATTCAAAGCAGCATCAGAAGCCACAGGAACTGGGGGGTGACAGGACCCTCTAAACCTAGGAGGCTGGCTGGAGTTGAGCATAGGACAGTTGATTGGAAGCTTTCCTAAGTAGTGAGGACCCTCTAGGGTTCTCTCCAGCCCTTCCTACCCCTGGACGACGTTAGCACAGAGATCTTCTGAACTAGGGACCACCAGGCACAGCAGAGGGAGAAGTGAACCTTAAGTAAGCCGAGAGACAACGTGGCACATCACTTACGCCCAACTCTGCCTCCATCTTCGTGCAGGTTCGGATTTATTTGTTTTGGTTGTGTGGTAAAAGCAGCTTGCAGGGAAAGGAGGGTTTTTTTTTTTTGGCACAAATGGTGCAGTCCGTTGTGGCAAAGAGTTCAAGTTGGCAGGAGCTGGAAGCAGCTGTCCCCATCACAACCACGGTCAAGGAGCAGAGAGTAACAAAGGCATGCTTACTACTCTGCTCCTCTCTCTCATTCACGTAGTCCAGGGTCCCTTGCCTAAGGAATGGTTCCACTCACAGTGGACAGGTCTTCCTACCTCAACGCAATCAAGATAATTCCCCACAGATTTGCACATCACGAGATCTTAGAAATACTGTCATTGCCGGGCGGTGGTGGCGCACGCCTTTAATCCCAGCACCGGGAGGCAGAGGCAGGCAGATCTCTGGGAGTTCGAGGCCAGCATGGTCTACAAGAACTAGTTCCAGGACAGGAACCAAAAAGCTAAGGAGAAACCCTGTCTCAAAAATCAAAAAAAAGAAAAAAAAAATTAAATACTGTCATTTAGACTCAAAATTACAAACAACAAAGAGAAAGCCAGTCTCAAAAACCTGGGGATAAGAATGGTACCATTGCCAGGTGGGTGGTTGCTCAAAGCACATCTTTAATCCTGGCACTTGGGAGGCAGATGCAGATGGATCTCTGTGAGTTCAAGGCCAGCTTAGTCTACAAGAATTAGTTCCCAGGACAGCTAGGGCTGTTACACAGAGAAACCCTATCTCAAAAAAGAAAAGTATAGAAAAAAGAATGGTACTATTAACAGCAACCCTAACAGCTGACCCTGACTTATTCTCACTCAATCCTCTCTCTCTGTAACCCCAAATGTGTGGCTCTATAGTTCCGATTGTCCATATGGGCTCCTTTTATATCAAAGGTGCTGTTTCTTTAAGTATAGCATATCTACAGGCTACAGCAATGCAAGAAATGTTCTTGGCTCTCAGCCTAAAGTGATACCCAAATTGCCTTAGCAAAGGAAAGGAGCACCTTGGACCATGACCAGGACCCTTTGTTCTTTGGATCGTGCTTGGCTCAATCGCTCTTCTCTTTTGATTGACATTGAAACAGGAACTGTAGCACCCAGCCCCAAATACAAATCGTAAGTCTTACTAAAAGCGTAACTAGAAACTGATTTTCACACTCCTTTTCTGGACCAGTGGTTGGAGGAACAGTTGAACCAAGAGCTTGGGTTGATGATTAAGTACATGGCAGGGTGACGCTTGGAAAGGCAGTTTTCCAGAACTCCAATTGACATAAAGTATGTCCACTGACACAAGTAATGAAGCGTGGGCAGTCACTAGGTTCAGAGACCAGGGATCTGTAAATACCTTGCAGCGTCCGTCTTGACTTCCCTTTCTTGACTGAATTTAGGGACTGGAAGCCTTCCCTTCAACAGCAGTGTAAGAGAGGCAAGAAGATTCTGTACAGAAAATCCATTGCAGCTTGTGGAGCATGAAGCAAGCCAATTATTACAAATACCTTTTAAGAGAATAGGGAGTCAGAAGAGGGGGAGAAGGAAGAAAAAAAGGAAAAAAATTTTTTAGGTGGCTGACTGAAGACAATCATTTCTTGCTTTCTACAAACCTAGGTAAAAGGAAAGTCAATCCAACCTGTCTGAAAGGAAAAATGAGGACCCATTTCTTCAAAGCTCAGCAGGATTTAGGCGAGAAGATTCCTAGGACGCTGGACATGGTGGCAAATATCTTGATTCCAGCCCTCAGGAGACAGAGGCAGGCAGATCTCTGGAGTTCCAAACCAGTAGAGCTACCTGGACCCTATCCCTGGGCATGGGAAGTCTTAGGAATGCAGGCACATCCTGCTTCCATAATGTGGACTTGGGCTGTCTGCTTTTTGAACCTTGCCAATTCAAAAGACTGCCCCCAAGAGGAGGAAATGTGAACACCTCCTAATTCAAATGCTAGGCGAATGGGAGACTGCGATGTTTTTTAAGGGAAGGCCATTAAGGAAGCGACTGACAGAAAGAAGATGCTGAGTTTATTTGAAGTCAACTGCGAGACTTTGCAAAACATTCAAATTGAGGTTCTTCTGCGCACTAGAGACGTCCTAAAATAGCTAGGAACTGAGAGCCGAGCGCAGAGCATGTTTGGTCTGCTAGATTGAAATTCATTTGATTAGGGAATAAATATAAAGCCGAAGCCATAGTGGGAAAGCCGAAGAGTTAAAAATAAACAGAGGACTTTTTCCACCAAAGTACAGCTAGAATTTGCTGCAATGACAAAGAGGCCCAGCATTTTAGTGACTTCGTGCAAGCCGAGGCTTTTCCTCTCTTTGTGGCAGGTGTTGATTCGGTGTCTTCAGCCCTGCTCATAGGTGCGTCAAAATTCCTGTCCCATCTGCTCACCAGTGTTGCTGGTGTTGCACAGTGGTCCTCCTTGCAGCTGTCTTGCCCTGAGACCCAACAGCTGGTGCTCATGCTGAGCTGTTTGGAAAGCCCCATCAGTGAGCTCATAGGCGCCTGGGGACCAGTGTGGTCCCTCCCTTCAGATGCAACAACGTCCAGGAAAAGAATGAAGCAGATTACCTGGGAAAGCTCTTCTTTAGTGGACTTAATTGAGAAGCTGCTTTTAAAAGCCCTTGAAGTAGTAATTGGTAAACATGAATGAATAGAAGTAATTTTGAGGCAAGACCGTGAAACCCACAATTGACGAGTCATGCCCATCCCTTTGGAAAGACCAGCAGATTCTAAGGATGCAACCCTAGGACACAAAAGGAAAGCCTTAGATGGAAATGCCATCGAGATGGAGTGAGATGCGCTGCAGAGATGGCTCTGAGGTTAAGAGCCCTTGCTGCTTTTCCAGGGGACCTGAGTTTGGAACCCAGACGCCATATCAGGCAGCTCACAACTGTTTGTAACTTAAAATCTAGGGCATCTGACATTTTCTCTGCCTCCCTTGGTACCTGCACATCCATTGCATGCACACTCATGTGCACACGGGAACACAAACACCGAAGAAATGAGTATAGAGGCTGCCACAATGGGAACCCTTGACTTCTTACAGACATGTTGATTTGTCTCTGAGAGATGATGGATACACTCTCTTTTTTTTTTTTTTTTTTTTTTTTTTTTTTTTTTTCGAGACAGGGTTTTTCTGTGGCTTTGGAGCCTGTCCTGGCACTAGCTCTGTAGACCAGGCTGGTCTCGAACTCACAGAGATCCACCTTCCTCTGCCTCCCGAGTGCTGGGATCAAAGTCGTGCGCCCCCACTGCCCGGCCTGGATACACTCTTAAAACTATTGGAATCACCTAGTAGAACAGACCTCTGGGTGTGTCTGTGAATACGGTGAATACGGGTGGCACCTTCTAGAGACTGTAATCCCACCCAAATCCTGGGCTGCCTCGGCTTGTATTGCTGAACATTCTGGAATTTGAGTCCCAAACCTCTTGTTCTGAATTCATTCTTACTAAGCAAATCTTTGCTCGGGGTTTGGCGTTCCCTGCAGGTCTGTTTTCAGCCAGAGAGTGTTCATCACACAGGCTTTGCCAATTTAAAACAGACCACAGCTCCACAGCTAACGGAGGAGATTTGAAGCCTGGCATCTTGGCTTTCTATCTCACTGTGACAAGCAGGGTGTATGTATCCCGGCGGATGGGACCGCAGTTACGTGCTAGGAAAGAGAAGTGCCGCAAGCCTTCTGGAGGATGCCTGACTATTCTGTAATGAGCGTTTAGAAGAAAAAATCCCGCAGAAACAAGTTGACAGTGGAGGAAAGGGGAAGAGTAAAAGCCGCCTGGCAAGTGGTAAGAAAAGCAACTGAGTGGTGGCAAGAGAGGATGGCAGGAGACGCCAGAGATACCTGGAGAGTTGGGTGGCCTCTAATGTTTTTTTTTCCCAAATTTAAAATTGTAATGTAAGCCGGGCTATGGTGGTGCACGCCTTTAATCCCAGCACTTGGGAGGCAGAGGCAGGCAGATCTCTGTGAGTTTGAGACCAGACTGGTCTACAAGAGCTAGTTCCAGGACAGGCTCCAAAACCACAGAGAAACCCTATCTCGAAAAACCAAAAAAAAAAAAAAAAAAAAAAAATTGTAATGTAATTCTTTATAGATTATGAAGAAAATGCAATGTAGCAAAAATTTAAGTTAATAGTATTGATAATGGGATAAAAACGCATCTAGATTATTCCAGATTTGCTTGGTTGGTTAGGATTTTTTGAGATACAATTTTTCCACGGAGCCCAGACTGACCTGAAATTCATGATCCTTCTGCCTCAGCTTTTCAAGTACTAGGGTTACAGGCATGAGTGACCACGTTCAGCTAAAATTCTGTATTTTTAATAGAAATCCTATTGAAGATGGCTAAATTATAAGAGCAAGACTATGCATTATAAGATCAAATGAATCACATACTATAGCAAGTTATAAGATATTATAGAATGATGGAGTTCAATTCGGTCATACAAACTAGATGGTTGATGACTTTTGGTGAGCAAAGATTAAATAAAAGGTGGTAACTAGCGGGATGAAATGAAACACACACATTATTTCTCTGGCTTTGGAAATGGAAAAGGCTGGAAAAGCTCAAGAATGGAATGGAAACGGCAGGGTGATTATGTCGGAATTTTATTTTATTCTTTATGCTTTCCTGCAATTTTCAAATTTTCCATAATGAACTTAGGGTCCTTTTATGATAATGTGAATTACTTTTATGGGGAAGCATGCCTCCATTAGCAATTCCGTTTTTCAATTATTTTTGTTAGTTATCGTGGAATTAAAAACTCATTAGATACATTAAATGTAACATTTTTAGATGCTCAGGGTATACTTGCTCCTGACTGTTTTTTTAAAATGAATCTGTAATTAGATGGAATAAGAGAAACGAGACTAGCAAGGCTCTCTCAGGGGAACAGCAAAGACATGAAAGGCCCCACTTCAAATATTGTGTAACACTTACCATAGAAATGGTTGTCTTGTGGACACAGTTTACAGAATGCAATATATATATATAAATTGAAATTTGACTTTAGATTTGCTCATGGATTTCAATATGAATAGAATAAGTAACCCAAATTCAATTCAAGCTGTAAGTTTAGTTTCACAACGTCTGAAAACGAGATGGTAATCAAGGCAGTATTAAAAACAAGGTGATACACTAAAAACCTTTGCACACAACTGAAAAAACTAAGTCCATCTGCCTAGAATACACTAATTCTAATTTTTCTTTTTACTTTCTTAAAGATTAATTTATTTTTATTTTATGTGCATGGGTGTTTTGCCTGCACTTTATCTGTGCATCGCGTTCATGCCTGGTACCTGTGGAGACCCAAAGAGAGGATCAGATCCCCCGGAGCTGGAGTTATAGACAGTTGTTAGCTGTCATGTGGGCACCAGAAATTGAACCCTGGTGGGCAGCCAGGGCACTTAATCTTGAATTTACTCTCCCTTAAATAGTTTTTTTTTCTTTCTCTGTTACATAGAGGGACCCTTAAATAGTTTTTAAAGAATTTTTATGGGCATGTGTGTGTTAAGGGGGATTGAATTAGCATGTACACATGTCTGCCGTGTTTTCAGAGGCTGAAAGAGACTGTTGGATCTCCTGGAACTGAAGTTATAGGCTCTATCAAACGCTCAATATGGGTGCTGAAAGCCACACTCTGGTCCTCTGGGAAAGTAGCAAGCACACTCTTAAACTCTAAGGCATCTCTCCTTCCCAGATTAGAGTCTTTTCAAATAGTGAAGCTACCCATTACATACTGAATTACATATATGTTAATTCACAACGGATATCTTAAGTAGAGTTCTAAACTCTGTTTGGTCATTTAGAAGACACAGAGGGTGTCTTATTGGGTGGAGTTGATGTGATCTGTGAATACTAGGGCAAGCTCATCAGAAAGTAAGAAGCAATGTTAATATCAAGAAACCTTCGTAGAACAAAAAGAGTTATCATTGTCACGGCTTAAAAGTTGAGACCTAGCTATGGATTGAGATGATCTACGCTCTCAGTGATACTAAGAACCCATCATCCCAGGATAGTCTTCTCCCTAGACTCAAAGAGGATGCAATCAATGTACGCTTCACCTCCAATTTGCCATTGGGGTTTTGATGTTGGATGTTTTGTTTGTTGGTTTTTGGTTTGTTTTTTGTAGGCTGGGGATGGGACCACCGACCTCATACATCCCAGCAAGCTCTCTCTGTGAAGCCTACCCATCTGAATTTTTTTTTTCCTTTAGCTCTTTTCTTCCTTCCAGGCAAAAAAATTGATCCTCTAAGACTATAAAATGTTCTCTGGTTACTTCATCCCCAGATTACAGCCCTTGTTTATATATTAATGTGCCTAGAACTATAATAATTAAGCTTCAAACTGCATTGCAAGCTTGGGTGTGCTCAGTTTAGACTAAAGGAGCTCCAGCTGGGAATGAGATGCTCAGCTCAGCCTCCTATTCTAGCCACTCCCTGTCACCCCAGTTCCAACCCTCTGCTACTCTCCTGCCAGGGTAGGTGGTAGATGGAAGCAAGACAGGGGTAGAAGGGGAGGAAAAGTCATACAGGGTGGCATACAGAGGTGCTGGTGGAACTGCCCTCTGCTTCCCACTGAGACATCGGGCTGAGGTTATTTTCTCAGCCAGCACCTACAGCCGTGGTTCCCAGATTTCCTAACGCTGTGACCCTTTCATACAGTCCCTCACGTTGTGGTGACCCCAACCATAAAATTATTTTCGTTACTACTTCATAACTATAATTTTGCTACTGTTAGGGATCAGAATGTACATTATCTGTGTTTCCCAATGGCCTTAAGCTGAACCCTGTGAAAGGGTCATTCAACCCCAGAGGGGTTGCGATCCACAGGTTGAGAACCTCTGACCTACAGCCTCCTCGGAGTCTCTACAGCGCGGCCCCTCCCACCGGAATTTCATTGTTCAAGCAGGATCTCCCCTGAAGCGGCCCTCTGTCATCCCTGTCTGCTTCTCCTCCTCCATTCAGTGATACCTCCGACTCCTTCTGCCACTAACCCTTCACCTGCGGTCAGAAGAACCGGTCAGGGCTCTTCCCTTACAATCCTGACTTGCACTGGTCCTCTGAGTTTTGTATTTCCTCCGGCAGGGGACGTGCCGTTCTGGTCCGACTAAAGGTCAGCTGTCTCCGCCTAGCAGTACCTCATGCACCTTGTCCTCTAGGCATGAGTCAGATGCTGCCTGTGTCCCCTGCACTTAAAGAGCCCTGTTCATCTCTGTGCGATGCTCTCCCACGTGAGAGGCAGACAGGAAGAGCTCTAAGGGGGAAGCGCAGGTGAGGATCCCGGAGCTGTTCTGATTCTTCTCTTTAAGCGCCATGGATAGATTCCAGGCTCCGCTTTGCCCCGGAGTGTGACGGTATTGGTCTTAGGACCCCAGTGACAGCTGGGAAAGAATCTTGTCAACCTTACCTTCCTTCCCTGCAGTTGTTCCCAAACCACTCAGCCTCCCAGCGTGCCACAGCGGAGTCTAGCGCCAAGTTATGCAAATAGGAATGACGGAAAGAGGAGGAACCAGGGACAATGGGAAACGGTGGCAGATTTCAAGCGCCACGGACTCAAAGCTGGAGAAGGAAGGAATTCAGAAAGATTCCTGGACTGAAGGGTTCAGGAGGCCAGAGAATTTAGAAGAAATGGTTGCGCAAACAGTCTGAAAAGATCAATTGCATTGCTTGGCTGAAGTCAAAGAAGATGAGAAATGGCAAAACCAACCTTAGTGCTACAGCTTAAGAACCAGCCAGTGATGACCATCGATAGCAGAGTTCAAGTGTGCAGAAGACTCTTTCTTCAGAGCACAATGATGGAAAAGCTGAACATGAGGGACAAGGTATTAACTTTCCCTAGAGAGACGTAAACCAAGGCCTAGTCCACCCAGATAGGGAATCAAAAAAGAGAAAAAAAGAGATGATTGCACCCAAGTCCAGCTTGGTCCATCCATGAGTTTAATTGCTTTTATTTACAAGAGTATGGGCCGGGGATTACTAAGGAGCATAGACAACTTACAAGTAGCTACACCACCAGAGTCTCCCTTCCTCTCAACTGTTAACTGCTTAATGTCCTCAGGAAGGGCTGTCTCACGTGTCCTTCACCGCGTGAGCCCCTGTGTGTACCACCCTATGAGAAGCCATGTAGCTCTTTCCCAAGAGCCTTTCTCTCCACAGGAGAATGGCAGTGTGCCCGCCCAAGTCATGGGATGGCCCCCTGCAGGCAATCACAGCTGCTCCGATTTTGAGACCACAATGGCTACATCATACCCAGAGGACAAAGTTTCTAATAACTAGCTAGGAATCCAAGTGGAAACATCCCAGGAAGCGTGAACTCAGGATGTTTTTTGAGACTGCACCTTTCAGAACTGGGTCAGAGATGGCGCCAGGAGTCACAGAGCTCAATGATTGCCAAAGCGTCAAGTAGAAAGATGAAAAGACTACAGAGAAACCCTGTCTCGAAAAACAAAACAAAACAAAACAAAAAAAAAAAAACCGAAAAGACAGTAGGTGTGACCACCTGGGAAAGTTCCATCTTTTAGAGGAAAGGGTATGAAGAGAACGCTTGCAGAGGAAATAGAGCTCACTGGCATTCCAGAGGAAGAGATTCATCTGAGTCTAACTAGCCCACTCTAAAAACGGCTACAGCCAAAGCTTCATCTGAGTCTAACTAGCCCACTCTAAAAAGAGCCACAGCCAAAACTGCTCCTCCACTTACCAATCACCTTCACTGCTTGGCTTCAAAGACTGAAAGAAAAAAAGGAAAAAGAAAAGAAAATTCTGGTTTCACATCTGCAAAATGACACTGGTATTTCTATCTCCCTCCCAAGACTGTGAGGAGGCGTAGGTGAGGCAAGGGAGAGGGCCTCTGGCCTAGAACACAGGCACAGCAAATGTGGACAGCTCCAAACACTGTGACTCTCTGTCTTAGTTTGCTTTCTATTGCTGTAATAAACACTATAACCAAAAACAACTCGGAGAGGAAAGGGTGTGGTTCAGCTTACAGCTGCAGTCCAGGCTGAAGGGAGGTGGGGGACAAGAAATTCAAGACAGCAACCTGGAAGGAAGCAAGAGACAAAACAGAAGCCATGACAGGTGCTGCTTACTGACTTGTTCTCATATTTGCTCCTCCTCCTTTCGTATACTATAGTGATATTATGTTTGTGTTTTAATAAATAAAGTTTGCCTGAAGATCACAGTGCAAAACTAGCCACACTAGTCAGCCATACAGTGGTGGCGCACACTTTAATCCCAGCAGCCAAACTAGTTAGACAAAGAGCCTGGGTGGTGGTGGTGCACACCTTTAACATCAGCACTAGAGAGGAATATAAGGAAAGAAGAAGGAGACAGGACCTCGCTCTCTTTTCAGTCTGAAGATTCTGTAGAGGTAAGAGCTCTATAGTAGTTGGCTGCTTTGCTTTTCTGCTCTTTCAACTTGAACCCCAGTATCTCTGTTTCTGGGTTTTTATTATTCATGCTATATCTGGCACCCAGCATGGGGCTGGAACCCATGACCCTGAAATTAGGAGTCTCATGCTCTACAACTGAGCTAGGACCACCAGCCTAAGGGTGGTATCGCTCTAAGTAGAGTAGGCCCTCACCTATCAGTTAGCAATCAAGAAAATGCCCTAACTCAGAGAATAAGAGCACTGGCTGCTCTTCCAGGGGTCCTGAGTTCAATTCCCACCAACCATATGGTGGCTCACAGCTATCTGTAATTAGATCTAGTGCCCTCCTCAAGCCTGCAAGCATACATGCAGGCAGAACACTGTATACGTAATAAATAAATCTTTAAAAAGAAAAGGTTAATTTAAAAAAAGAAAGAAAGAAAACGCCCTAAAGACTTGCCTGCAGCCGGGCAGTGGTGGCACACGCCTTTAATCCCAGCACTTGGGAGGCATAGGCAGGCGGATCTCTGTGAGTTCAAGACCAGCCTGGTCTACAAAAGCTAGTTCTAGGACAGGCTCCAAAACCACAGAGAATCCCTGTCTCGAAAAAGCAAAAAAAGAAAAAGAAAAAGAAAAAAGACGACTTGCCTACAGACAATCCATTGGAGGCATTTCTTTCCATCGAGGTTCCTTTCCCCATTTGATTCCAGCTTATGTCAAGTTGACAAAAATTAACCAGCATGCTATAAACATCTAATTCCTTCTGCTTAATCGGTACTCATTCTTTCATGAGATGAGGGTCTCAAACGTACTTCTAACAGCATGGTCCCTTTTCTTGCTTCATTTAGCCTTCCTTAGGATGAAAATGGTACTGGGGAAATGAAAGGGATCTCCGCAGTAGGTAGCTGGTACCATGGCACAGCTCACATAAATGCATTGCCACTCCGCTGCTGGTTTGGCTTCCAAACGTACTCTGACAAGGTTAGGGCTTCTCCTCGTGGACCATAGTAGAGATTTAGAGGCACTGCCACCAGCTGGGTGGTGGTTGCTGAATTACAGTGTATATTTACTATGCTGCTGTTCTACCGCTGTCTAACAAATTGCCACAAACGTAACGGCTCCAAACAACACCCTGTGTCTTGGCTCACAGGTCTAGAATCTAGGTGCCACTTGGCTGGATGCTCGGCTCTAGGGCTCACTGGGCTCAAATCAAAGTCGCAGTGGCACCGCCTTTCTTTGGGGGATCAATTTCCAGTTACGAGATGGCTACTGTGGGAATTTGTCATTGTAGGACTAAGGCCCCTATTTCCTTGCTAACTGCTTTCTAGAGACCTGGTTTAGCTCCTCAAACCAGCTACAATCCAAGAGTGGCCAGTGCAAATCATCGTGTGCTTTCTTCCAGCCCCAGGCAAAGAACCCACTCTGTTTCTCTCAAGACAATCTTGGCTTTAGCATTGAATTAAGAGATTATGGGGGCTGAAGAGAGACCACGCAAGTCCAAGGACCTGAGTTTGAGTCCTTAGAATCCAGGTGAAGCCGGACTTGGTAGTGTACCTCTATAAAGCCAGTACTCCCGTGGTGAGATGGGAGGTAGAGGCAGAATTCCCAGACGTACAGGCAAGCTAACCTGGAACACACAATAGTGAATGATAAAGAGACCTTGCTTAAAGCAAGAAGGAAGGTGAGGACCAATACCCAAGATTGTCCTCTGATCTCCACCATAGCAAGTGTACACCTGCACTCACACACACACACACACACACACACACACACACAAAGGGGGGGGGCTTGAAGACTGTTTAGTTCAAACTGCAACATTCTGTGAAGTCCAAAATATACACTGCAGCTCAAATGATCACTAGCACAATATCGAAATGAAGAGACTTCAAAATATTCCTTTGATATTTTTATATTGGCTTCATATCAAAATGGCAATACTCAGGGTATGTTGATTTAAATAAAACGTGTTATTAGAATCCATTTCACCCATTTCTCATTATCCCTTTTATTACCTACCAGAAAAACTTAAAAATCACAAATGTGGTTTATGCCATGTTTCTCTGGGACAGCACAAGAGAAAGCTAAGACCAAGAAAAAACTCAGACCAGCCCTAGACTGTGAAAATGGTCATCATTTCCACAATACCACAAGAGGGAAGTCAGTGGCGTTTGGGGGGGACACAGAGGAGTGGTCAGTTTAGCTGGGGAAGTGATGGAGACCTGAGGCTTGGTCCCCTGCTCCTAGCTGAGGAGGAACTTCATTCTCCCATGCAAACCCTTTTCCAAGAGACAGAGACTCTACATTTAAAACTGCGGGCCAACTGCTAAGTGAGTCTTTACTCTCAGTGACACCAATTCATAGCAAGGTTACAAAAGAGCCCCGAGTGCCCAAGTGCACGTGAGCCCTTGTCTGACAAACCACCACTCCGCATCCGCCTGTGCCTTTCTCGTCTTTCTCTTAGACACCCGCAGGTGTGTGAGAATCTCTCACCTACTTTGTACAAGCTCCTGGGCTCTCACCACTGGGAGCAACTTGTCTTCAAAACCCCTCATTGGCAGGGCTTTTGATCTTGCCAATAGAGGGCAGCTATTATCAGCTTAATTAGAGGGTGGTTAATTACCCTTGTGGCCCTCCCAATTAGTTCAAAGAGCTCCCTTAGCTTTCTAGCTTATGAAAAACAGAGGAGGAAAGAAACTGGAATGCTATGAATAATTTTTTTTCTATAGTGTTTTCTCCCACTAGGAATATCCCTATCAGTTACCTTTTTGACTAAGTCCCCACTTCCCTTAAAGACTCACGTGAATCTTTGGTATTCATTAGACAAACACTTTTATATGCAAATAGTGAATATTTAGTAAGCATGCTGAGCAGTAAACATACAGCATCTCATTTAACCTTTTCAGCTCATAAATGAAATAATAAGAATGAGTAGACATTTACTAGGTGCCAAGGATTTTCTGTTTGTTTATTTGTTTGCCCAAGATGCCCACATGAGAGGTACCAAGAATGGTACCTGTACTGAGTAAGTGCCCCCAAAAAATGTTAGTTAATATTTAAATTAATCCTACAAAGACTCTGCGTCATAAATGATATCATCATTCTTGCTTTACATATAAGTAAACTGAGGCTAGCTGATTTTAAGTTGCAGACTCTGTGTTCTTGTTTTTTTAATTGTTACTGTGATAAAACACGACAGCCAAGGAGCTGGAGAGATGGCTCTGCTGTTAAGAGCACTTGTTGCTCTCGCAGAGGCCCTGGGTTCAGTTCCCAGCCCAGCACCCACATGGTGGCTTATGACTGGAACTCCAGGGGATCTGATACCTTCTTCTGGTCTCTGTGGGCACCAGGTGCATACTTGATGATCACAGTCCATCATCAGAGAAAGTCGAGGCAGGTCTGCTTGATATTTCACACAGTATCATCCAGAGAACTCACGCACAATCAAAGAAGCATAGTAGACACCATAGAAGATATAGCTTCCTGGTTTACCCATAGGCTCCTGCTTAGCTTGGCTTTCTTCTACAGCTCAAGACAGTCTGCCCGGGGAACAGCGCTGCCACAGTGGGCTGGAGTGATGGCTCAGCAATTAAGAGCACTAGCTGCTTTTGCAGAGGATCCGGGTTTAGGTCCTAGCACCCACATGAAGATGCCACCCATCTGTGGCTCCAGTTCCAATGGCTCTAATACACACTGAGAGAGAGAAACAGGGAGGAAGGGAGGGAGAGAGGGAGGGAGGAATAAGTCTTAGGAGAAGATAAAGAAAGGAAGGAAAGGGTAAAGCTAAGCATGAGCTATGACCTAGCAACTTAGATAGAGATGAGTTTGGCCATCCACATACAGTTTCCAAAGCTAAATATTATCATTTCTGGATCTACAATTAGATGGATTATCCAAGCAACTTGTAACTTAGTCTTGCAGAGGTGGAACACAATACCTTTATGATGAAAGCTCTCTCCAGTGAGGAAAGAAGAGCTGAAGGGCTGACAGAAACTCATACAAGTTTTAGTTCACGCCAATATTTTTGTTCTTAAAAAGAATTTCTTTTGAGAACTACTGATATGGCCACCTGGGTGAAGTTGCTTGTCACTAAACTTGACAGTTTTGAGTCTGATTCTTGGAATCCACGTAGTGGAAGGAGAGAACCAACTCCCCAAAGCTGTCCTCTGGCACACACAAAACAAGTAAATAAATGTAATTTTACAAATTAAAAACACTGCTTTGAAACGATTCTGGCTAGGTTTGGATTTAGGAAAGCCATCGGG